ACACTCTCTTCACACCTCAGACAGGGATGCTTCAGGCAGGAAGCCCCCTGGTGATCGTGGGGCTGCCAGTCATGGGGCTCCGTGGTGGTAGACATTTGTCCCACCTGCACCTCCTGCGGTCCTGTGGTCTAGAGGGGCCCAACTGTCTCAGTGCACTGAGTGGGGCAGGTGCAGATTCCTATTTTAGAGTCTCTGGGTCTGGTGTGTTTCCCAGTGTGTCTTAAGCTGGGGATAGCTGACATCGCAGGAACATCACCAAGAGTCAAAGTGACGCATCATGTGCTTCATATAACTTAGGTATATCTGTAGTAGTTCATTACAACAAAAGAGTAAAAGCATAACTAATGCAGATGTCTTTTAATGCTTAGCTTATATGTTAGGAACAGCCAGGTATTCACTCCCAAACTTTAATTCCTGACACTGTGTGTTACCAACCTGGTTTTTGCTGCAACCTGGTTTTTGCTGCATTCAGACTCTTTCTGTTTCCTTTCACAAAAGGCCTTCCACTGACCAAGATTATTCCTTGTGTTTTGTGGGGTTTGGCTTCTGGGTCGCTAGTGACATCAGAAAGCAAAGGTGTTCACGACAGAAATGTTTCCACTGAAGACCTCTTTTATTTTTCCATCTTCCATTTTGATACTTTTTGGCTTGGCATGGTATTTAAGCTTGTGGGCTTTTCTCTCTGGCTGTTTCAGTTGTGGTAAAGTTTGGGTTTTAGCCCTTTCACTGGCATTTACTGCCCTGTCTTATCAATAAGCTTGATAATCAAAACCCTGTTGACGTGGAAAAATAAGCAAGATAGGTGAGTCTGCCTACACAGAGTTCTCCCAGAAGAAAGGAAAGTTGTCAGCTCTGGAATTCTTAGTCTGCACATCTCATCTGCTACTTTTGTTGCTACGTGGGAAAATGCTTAAAGCAGTTCTGATGCTGGGAAGATGTCAGATAGCATTGAGGATTACCACTTCCTGCTTGACCTTATCCTCTCTGTAGAGGTGTGAAGGTATATTCAGTGGGTCATTCCTGTAAAACAGGAAGAGCGTCTGAAAGGCTTCATGTCTCTGCAGAGCAGGCCTGGGTTTGGGCACGGACACCTCTAGTCTTTCATAGCCCCATCCCAGCCTTCATATGGACATTTGTAGTTCCAATGAGCCAGACAAGGGTTGCAGGTGAGTTGGGTGGAAGTTGGTACAGTGTAGCCCATGCTTGCTACTGGTTGTTTCAGTGGGTTAGGGTTGGGATTGGGACTTGGACATACTGGCATGGTATATGTTTTGAAGGAAGCAGTTCTCTAACATCATGGGGCTCAAACTTTACCACAACTTAAACAGCCAGAGAGAAAAGCCCACAAACTTAAATACCACACCAAGCCAAAAAGTATCAAAATGGAAGATGCCATAAGGTGTTGGGCAGACCCAAGACCCAATGCCTTTCTAACATGTTCAGTTACCCTTCTTTTACTGCAGAGATATTAACCTTGACATGAAATGATACTACCTGAATCATCCCTTTGGAGAAAGGGGAAAAAGATTATTTTCAGAGTTATTAGAAGTACTAAGCTATGTCTTGGGATTGTTATGAATTCTTCCGTATTCAGACTAAATATCTTTGCCCCAGTCTCTCTGGGTATTCTAGCTCTGCATCTGGGACCAGGGAGTGCACTAGCTGAGAGGCCTGGGGAGAAGAGCTGCGGGCAGGGCGGTCCTGGGCCTCTGTAGTGCAGTCTCCTGTGTCGTGAGTGGAGGAGATACTCCTCACAAGAGGCAGTGACAGCTGAGAAAGCACTTGGCAAGCACAGAGACACACAGGATGTGTGTCCCCCTGTGAATGGTACTGGCCTTGACACTCCTGGACTTTCCAAACCCTTTTTGCTGTGTTTTGGGGGGACTTGGGCAGAGAGAGAGGTGATGGGAAGTGCTTTGTGCCCAATTTCTTGGCCAGCCTACTGGGCTTCTCTGTATCTCAGGGTCCCTGAGCTCCTCAGGGGTCACTCTCTCATAGCATCCTGCCCTCGCCTCCAGGGCACAGGGCACAACACAGGGATAGTGTCAGCACCTGCCTCTGGTCTGTGTTAAGATTTAATCAGGTGGCTCTGGCCTCACTCTTTTTAGCGGAGCTGGAGGGGAAACCCAAGTCACCATGTCCTGATTCACACAGCTGTATCCGGAGTTGGAGCCCTGGGTCCTCATGACCCAGAAGAACAGTCCTTGACACTGGCAGCTCTGCCTGCATCCCTCAGTCCTCTGCTGTCCTTGTTGCTAAGTCTCTGGTCCTGCTCCCACGTGTGCACAGCTCGTTTCTTTAGGGATCCTGCTCAGCTTCCAATTTGTGAGTGGAGCTCACGTGGCTCAGACACCAGGCCCACAGGCTCATCCCTCACACGGTCCCCTCCCCTGGGAGGAGGTGACCTTGGCCCAACAAGCATGGTCCCAGAGATTTGCTTTTCTGTTTTTGTAAGGCATTTCCCTCCCTCTGCCTCACTGGAGGCTGCAGAATGAAGCCACACATACATAAACATGTGCCACTGATGATCAAGTCTTGTTGCCAGGCAACCGGCAGCTCTCAGGTCTTTTGACATTCTGCTGGTAACTCAGTTTTATTTCATAAAAATCGAAAATAGTCAGAGCATTTCCTGGATGAGCCAATTAATAGGATCAAGTTGTAAGTCTGTCAGCATGTAAATCAGCTACCCTGATGTTGTCTTCAGCGTGTACTTTATCCTACACGTCACATTTCTCAAGCCTTTTGATAAATTGCCTCAGTTCTCTTTAAGGATCTCACAGAGACTTTTCCCTCTGGCATGTTTATGAAGCCAACTGATCCAAGGGATCCAGCACCAGCTATATTGGAAAGTAGTATCAGGAGGAAGTGTCCCTGTAGCCCCTTGCTGGAGCAGTTGCTATGGAAACTGGCTGTGAGGTTGGGAATTGTAAGCTTGGGCTCAACAGTGAAGGAATTTATGAGAAAGTTGGATTTGCAGTTTGAGAACTGCCAGTCTGGCCATAATACAAAGCTTGAACTGGAGGGACCTGAGGGGAGAGGAGGGTAAGAGGACGTTGCATTAGTGACTGCTGCAGCCGGCCATGGGGAGAGGGGAGACAGGTCTGGAGATTTCTGCAACTTTAGCACAGACAGAAGTTTGAGGCAAAGAAGCCACTCACATGTGCTGTGTGAAGATGTGCTGGAGCTGACGTCGTATTGCGTACAAGGAGTGGCTTGTGTTGGAAAAGTGCAGCGAGCTGTGTGTGGGGTTTGATGGGAGATAGTGAGAGGCAGGCAGGGAGCTGGAAGGTGGACTTGAGGTGGGTGAGTGACTGAGTCCAGGAGCTGAGAGGGCTGCTGTGAGTCAGGGCCTGGGCAGCCCAGAGCTGCTGTCTGCCTGCACCCACCGAGCTGCTAGCGGAACAGTGAGCAGCAGGGGCAAGCACCGGCCTGCGGCCCCACCGTGGGTCAGGCATGGGGGTGGGTGGTGCCCCTCACTTAGGCCTGGGGATTGTGGAGCAAGGACCCTGTTCCTGTGCCTGTTCCTGGGAAGCATTCCTGCCAGGGCCAGAGCATCAGGGATCCTGTGACCAAATTGCTGCCAATCACTTTTCCTCCCCAGAAACCGGCCCTGCCTCAGTGCTCCAGTGCTGTCTCCTGCCCAGGGGGGTCCTGGCTCTGCAGACCAGCAGCGAGGATGCTGCACGCTTCCCGAGAGTCAGCTAGGGTGGGTGGCTGCTGGGCATTCAGCTGCTTAAAACGTGTGGCATTGGAGGCAGAGCTGCCTGTGGTTGCACCCTTCTATCTGTGTCATTGTCATTCTTTAAGCACCAGTGAAACCCTAAGTCCTATAAGCAACCTGGGGTGTATTCTTAGACAATTCTTTTATCCCAAGTAACAGCTTTGTCTTAGACTTGTTGAAGAGGGTTTGGCTGTTCTCTTTTAAATGCAAAAGTAATAATATCCAGATGGCCATTCTATCAGCCCTTCTGTTAGTTTTTCCACCTTGACACATCCCAGAGATTGAGTTCAGTAACTCCTTCAGTCCTTTAAAAAAAAAACTGGGAATTTTTTGCTTAATAACCCAGTAAGTGCACCTGTGCTGTTACTATACTGCACAAAATCTGTTGAGTAGAACAAAGGCTTGTTCACAGCTTTGCACAGAGTAAGTTTGTGGCACTATTGATCTCCTCAGTGATGCAAAGAAGAGTGAGGTGTCAAAATGCTGCTGTAATGATAAGGTTTCACTCTGCCTCACCCATTATAAATTGAAAATAGAAGTTGGAAATATGTTCAGTTGTCCTCGCTGACCGAAGTGCAGCCCAGCCTGCCTCCTGGGCTCAGGACACTTAAGTTAGTCTGTAGGAGGCAAAAATCACCTAACACAATGCATATTTCATAGTTAGCTGTGAAAGTCTCATGTAATTTATTGAAAAGTGTACTGAAAGTGGAGACAGAATGGTTATTGGGGTTGATACACATTTAAGTACAGTTTTCAGTGAATGCACCAATTTCACACCATCATAAATTTTGAAAATGGTAAGCCAGGAGCATATTGTAGGGCCTCTTTCCATAAGGTACACGAGCCATGCAAGCAGTCAGTGACTGTATTCTCTCTCTCATTCATTCCCTCCTTTGTGAGTGTGTGTGCGTGTGTATGCACATGTGTGAATGTTCCTCCATGCAAAGATTCATGTGTACACCTGGGAGATGTGTTGGAGGACTCTCTATGGTGTCTTCATGTTTTATGTCCATACACTGTCCATGGAGACACACGCAGTACTAGCAGCCTCAGTCTGTGCCTGGAGGTGGACACCATGGAGGTCTGTGTTGCCCAACACAGACTATGTTGTCAGGAGAGCTCCCTGGCCAGCATGTGTCCACAGAACTCAGCCATGCAGTGTTAGCTCCTAATGCCAGGTCATTGGATGTTAACAATGTGCCATTTTACCCCATGGGACAGTAACCCCTTGTCTGATACTTCTCTTCTTACCCCTCCTGGTCTCCTGCTTCCTGGGAAGAGAGAACCACAGTGAGATCGAGCGGCGCAGGCGGAACAAGATGACCCAGTACATCACGGAGCTCTCAGACATGGTCCCCACCTGCAGCGCACTGGCCCGGAAGCCAGACAAGCTTACCATCCTGCGCATGGCCGTCTCGCACATGAAGTCCATGAGGGGCACGGGGAACAAGTCCACGGACGGTGCCTACAAGCCTTCCTTCCTGACCGAGCAGGTGCCCTCCCAGCCTCATCTGTAGCGTCCTCCTGAGAAGGGGGCAGAGTCTCAGTATCACTATCCTCAAATAAGAGATGTGGGGAGGTGGGGCCTGAGGCTGAGGAAGACAGGAAGCCAAGAAATCTCGCTTTCACTTTTCAGCAAGAAGTGCTCTTCAAGAGCATTGGGTTTTGTCGTCTTCTGTTCCATGTTCCATGTAGGTCAGTGAGGCGTCCCTGCAAATATATGCTGTGTGTCTGAATGATGCACTTAGCCAGCAGACATGGAAGAAGCCAGTGGGAACAGAGCCTGTGTGCCAGGGTAGCAGTAAGGGACACCCTGGCATCACAGTTGCAGTAGTAACAGTGACAGTAGCAGGATTGTCACGGCTAGCACTAGAAGTCCTCTGCAGTGTCTGGTCAGGGTCAGATCTTTTTGTACATAATTTTATTTCCTCCTCAACCTAGTCCAGTGGAGAAGCCAGTGCTATTCATCCCTGTGTCCTAGATGAGAACGTTGAGGCTTGGAAAGGATCCAGAGGTTGCCAGAGGTGAGTTAGCTGTTTCTGAAGGAGACAGGAGTTGGTGAAGGGATGGGGGTTGGACCCCAAAGTCATGGAATCGTTAGCAAGGCAGTATTTTGTCAGCAGAATCACAAGAGCCAGGAGTCTGTACCCTCCAGGATGAGCTGGCCTCAGGAAGGAGCAGCTGATCATCTGAGCTTCCCTTCCTTATTTGTGCAGTGAGTTCGAAGCTTTTGGACTCCCAGAGCTTCCGAGTGATAAATGAAACGGCGAATTGGAAAGCATTTTCTATACAGTGGCGGGAAAAGGGGATTGGTGTGGCTGTCAGGAAGGGCAGTGTAGGAATTGTGAGAGCTTGCAGAGACAGACTTCGAAGAATGGGCAGCTTCACAAGCCAAGAACATGGGGCCAGAGTGAGCAGAGCAGCGGGGGCCTTGTGCCATCGCAGACCACTCAGGACAGTGACAGCATCCTGTCCGCCTGGGGTGGAACCACGGAAGGTGCAGAGAAGGAGGGAATGGGGAATTGAAAGAGGGGTAGAGTTGCGCAGAGCCTGGGAGGAAGGAATGAGAAGATGCAACAGATAAGGTACTGTGTGGCATGAGAATGCATCCACGTCAGGGGACCAGGTTAGACAAAGAACAGCATTTGTGACTGTCGGTTCTGCTATGTATTTAGCAAGTGCATCACCTGCTTGAGCTCTGTAACTGCCCCCCCGGGGGGTCCTGTGAACCCTCACCTATAGCTGTCAGGATGGTGTGGCAGTGGCCGTGTTGGCCTTTAGGAGGCGTGGAGCATGGTGGCCAGGGCAGGGGCTTCAAGCCTTGTTTCCTCCCCTGCACAAATGAATTCCCTGGTGGCTCCCAACTCTGCAGATGCAGTGAGAAAGGCAGTATGTGTTGACTGCTCCACACAGGGCTTGCAGGGGAACCAGCCAGAAATGCACTGAGCGCTGCTAACCAGAAGGGTCAGGAAAGAGCTTGTCCTCTACATTTCTTTATTTCTTACAAAACTTCGCAAGGACAGTATTTGAAAGGACTCTCTGAGTGCCCACAGTGGTAGGGCCAGTGTGGAGCGCAAGTCACGAGAGTCCTACCCATGTTTCTGTCTTAGTTCAGTGATGGTGGTGACATGCACATCTATGGAGCCCCTACTGTGTGCAGGCCCTTGGTATTAGCTCTGCTAATGCTCCCCGAATCCCACTGAACACAGAACTGCAAATAGAAGAAGCTGCAGATGTTGAGTAAGGAAGAGACTGGCTGAGCCTTGTTTTACTCCAAGCCCTTGCTCTTTGTCCCTTCTCTCTGGTAGCTGGAGGAGAGGCTGCATGTTCTGGTTTCCAACATAGAACCTTGGATATGAGATGAACTCACTCAAGGAAGTGGCAAGGGAAGGTGAGCGTGGGCTCTGTCCCTGTGCTCTTTCCTGACCCTTGAGGACCAGACGCAAACATGAATGAACACACAAAGCCATCCAGCCTTCCCTGTGAAGTTCTGTCCTTTTCCAGAGAACCTGCCCACCTTTAAACACAGCTCTTCCTGTTTGGATGATCTTCCAGAGATCCAAAATAAAAGTGCTGACCCAGTCCTCTGGCTAAGATCTGGGAGACACAGCAGAAGTGTGAAGGGTGGGAACTGGGCAAAATAAACTTTTCCTGGAAAAATGGTTGAATAGTCTGCTTCCTCCCAAGTTTCTCAGGCTGAGGAGGTTTGTATTTTCCCCCAGCCTAGCACATAGAGACATTCCTTAAGCTTCCTGGTACTGCTCCCAACAGATCAGCATCTTCTCAGCTCTGAGTCCTTGAACCCCTTGGGGACAGGGACTTAGGGTATGGCCACAAGGTCCAGCTCAGTGGCAGTGCAGCAGGAGCCTTTGTCTCCTGATCGAGTTCCATAGGAGAGCTGTGGTGCCAGCTGCTGACGTGAACGGCACATGAGGTGGCTGGGGGTGCAGGTGAGGGCTGCAGACCTGAGTAGGGAGAAGGGTGAGAGCCTCACCCCCACAGGAAGGGGCACTGTGGCTGGGTGCAAGCATCACTCTTGAGCCGCCCCTAGATACTGTGAAGCAAGGCCTCTTGTTTGAACAGAGTTGATTCGGCTTCATCCACGACCCTTGGGGATCACGGCAGAGCTTCTTACTGCCACGCACTGATTTCAAGGAGCTTCCTTCCTGTCCTCACTGACAGTCATGATGCTGTGAACTTTTGTGACCCCAGATGGATGCTCCTGACCAGCTTCTCCCTGAAAAGTGGAGCAAATAGTGCTTCATGCCCTGCTGCCTGTTGAGTATCTCAAGAGTTTGTGGTGCTGGTGGTGACAGTTGTCAGAGAAGCTGGACAGGCAGGTGGACAAAAGGAGTCCTTTCATGTCCGGTACAAACATCAGAACACCTCTCATATCTGTTGAGGGCCCTCTTACATTGGGTGTAGACATGAGGAGATCCCGGGGGAGCTTAGATCTTCAGGTGGAGGTGGGTAAGGAGAACGTACTGACACTGGCTGGCACAGAGGTGAGGAGACTCACAGCCTCTTTTCTTTGTGCTTTCACTGGCTCATTTTCCTCCTTTCCATGAGCACTTTCTGTGCTGAGCACTGGGTGCTGGGCCCTTTTGCAGTAGTGCTGTGATTGTACTTCAGTACACAGGGACAACAGCGACACCTGTGGTAGCCCCATAGCTTGTGGTGGTCACCCTTCTGCCTACAGTGCTAGAGAAGGCTTTCTCTAAGAGAGGGCTGTGTTGAGTGGCTGTGTCTGAGGGATGGTGCTTCATTTTTGACAGTGGGAATCAAGCCCGAGGCCTTGTATTTGCCAGGCAGGCACTGCACTGCTGAGCTACATCCCTAAACCCAGGGATGGTGCATGCTTTGTGGATTTTTCCAGCTTATTTCCCAGTAAAATTGCACTATTTTTGCATATTATGTGCATATTGAACCAAGTAATGAAATAAAAGAAGCTGGAGTTTGCGGGTAAGAAATGCAATTGGTCTGTGTCTCCTGGCGTGGTGTGCTGATCCCAGTCTTCCCTTCCCAGGAGCTGAAGCACCTCATCCTGGAAGCTGCTGATGGATTTCTGTTTGTCGTAGCGGCTGAGACAGGGAGAGTGATCTACGTGTCTGATTCAGTCACGCCTGTTCTGAACCAGCCCCAGTCCGAGTGGTTCGGAAGCACCCTGTATGAGCAGGTGCATCCTGACGACGTGGAGAAGCTGAGAGAACAACTATGTACCTCCGAGAACTCGATGACAGGTCAGTCTGGCTCTTCTGTGGGGCCGCCTGACCTTAGGAAAATATTCTGCTGGTAATCGTGCCGGGACTGTGGAGCCATAAAAAGCTCCCTAAAGACAAGAATGTATCTTACTTATCTTGTTAATAGCTTTAGTCACCCTGTAATTTTTTAAGATCAGTTTCTATTGCATTACTTTCCTCCCGTGTATTTTTTCTGAAATTACCATACCTTGCTAGTAGGAGTCCTCATTGCTACGTTAGTCAGGTCTACACACTCGTAAGTTTGGTGTAAGAAATGTGTGGTTATTTGTGATCCCGATCATTATCCAGGCCTTTCTTCCCTTGGAATACTGTTCCTTATTGAAAACATTTAAATATAGATGGTTCTGCTGTCATATAACAGACAAATTCTTAAAAGTCACTACAGTATGCAAAAATCATGCAGGAAAACTACAAGGCTTACGGAAGCACAGTGCATTAAGAGTACCAACCTCAGTAATGTGTTAGTGGCAGAGAAAAGCAAAAATAGAAACCCGTTAAAAATACTAACACTGATTTACATGTAAGTGGTTATAACATTCATAAATATTATGAAACCTGGTGCTTGACCTTGAAAACGGTGTAAAGTTGGCTAGTGGCCTTGTGTCTCGAAGGTGACACAAGTGAGTTAGAGATGATGGGAGGGAGTCATGTGAAATCAGGTGGAGCGTTTTCACACCTATGTAGGCGAATACGGCTTGTAATGGGCAGCAAGCCAAGATCGTTGGTAGATATCCCTGTGTGTGCTCTATTCCCATATGTTTGGTTGGGCTTGGTGCTATGCTCACCTAGTAGTCCTTCCAGATAAATATGAAATTCACATTATCCTCAGATTGTTCCTTAATATAGTGGTGTCTTGATTCACAAACTTAATTCTTTCCATAATTCTGGCCCCAAACCGAATTGGACACGAACCAAATCAAATTTTCTCCTAAGGCCAACACTGAAACCAACCATTGAATTTGATTTGGTTGCTATCTAATTTTGGTTGCAACCAGAATTGTGAAAAGAATTAAGTTTGAGAACTGAGGTATCACTGTACATTGACCAAGCAAATTTACACTTACCTAATGAGTTATGGAGTTACTGTATTCTGATGTGCACATTCTGCGGTGTGCTGGTGGCTTTGGTCTGTTCTGTTCCCCCTGCCACAAGGGCGGGGGTGCTGGGTTATTACTTGCATTTGCCCCTGCTGCCTGTCTCATTGCTCTGTACACAGGAGGTCTGCAGCAGAAGCTTCCTGAAGGAGAGTGTCTGTGCTTTGCTCATTGTGTCCTGTTCAGGTTGACAAATCGAATGCCACAGCCTGGGTGATTAGACAAAAAAAATTCTTTTTCTTGTAGTTGTGCCCACAGGGCTAGTCCATTTGGCTGCTACAACAAAATACTATTAACTATGTATCTTTTGAGTGACAAAAATTTAACTTTTCACAGTCCTAGAAGTTAGGAAGTCCAAGACCAAATCACCAGTGAATTTGGTGTCTGATGAGGACCCATGCCGTGACCCACATGTGGAACCTTCTGGTTTTGCCTTCTCAGGATAGGAAGGGTTCACAGCTGTCTTGGTCACTTTCTCTCAGCTAGTGCAGAATTCCCAGCACCCATGACTTCAAGAGGCAGCAGCTTATTACAGTCCAGTCTGTGGCTGACTGGCCCCAAGACAGGAAGGGCCTGGTGTCAGGCTCAGGTGCAGGGAAGCTGCTCGCATCGTGGTAGACAGAAAGCCAGAGGGAAAGGGGAAGCCAGGAAGAAGAAAGCCCCACTAGGACCACTGGCCTCTGCTGACTAGACCCCACTTCCCATCAGCACATTCGGCTGTGGACTCATCATCCGTGGATCCAAGCACTTTCCACATACACGAGGCCTTGGGGGAAATTTTAGATCCAGATCACAGTGCCATCTGGGGCCTCTTTTATAAAGGCACCGAGTCCAGTCAGGAGGGTACTGTTCTTGGGACTTGATCACCTCCCACAGCCCACCTGTGAATACCAGTACCTTATGGATTAGGATTTCAAGGGAAGAATTTGAAATCCAGTATTCTTTTCATCACCCCTGTGGTGGTCGTGTCTCCTGAGGCCCCTGTCTTCCTTGTCCGGATGGCCACATTTTCTTTGAAGCCTCACATGGTCTTTTGTCTCCATGCACATCCCTGGTGCCTCTTCCTCTTATGGGAACACCAGTCAGGCTCGATCAGGGCCTAATTTTACCTTCATTACCTCTTTCAGGGCTTAGCTCTAAAGACAGTGACATTCTGAAGTTCTGAAAGTTAGGAGTTCAACATATGAATTTCAGGAATTCACAATTCTGCCCATAACACTTGCAATAAGACTGAGTCAGAAGTGGCAAAGGTGGTGCAAGAGCAGCTATTTTTGAAGGGTAATAGCAGGTTCCCTGGTGCTAAAGATCAGTGATGCACAGCAAGAGGAAGAGGGCAGATGATTAGGGTGTGAGGACAGGGTTGGCCTACTCATCTGTTTCCTCATGAGGTGGCACATCTGGCAGTGAACCCCATGTTTCCAGAAAGCCTTGCCCCAGTCCTGGGATGACTTAAAGAACTACACATAGAAGTCCTAAAGATTGCACATTGCAGAGTTAGGTACTGGGGAAGGCGAGGGAAGGGAAAGCAAGTCACCCAGGAAGTGCTAGTTTGCCTGCTGGAAACAGCTGTCTTTCCCTAGACTTGTGTCCAACCACAGGATGTGGCTTCCCTGAAAGTCAGTCGGGAGACCCTGTTGGGGCAGATGGCAGGGGAAGTGGTGGTCAGGGGCGAGACAGGCTGAGGTCAGGAGTATTCTTCCTGTGTGTGTGTGGGGGGCACAGCTTACAGGGCAGTGAGGTGGAGTGGCCATAAATGGCCTTAGAAGGAATGTCAGGCGGTGGCCACAGCAGCCAGAGCTGGTGCAATTGAAGGGTCCTCCAAGATGACAGAGGGAACCCAAAGACAATGAGCCCCCTCTGCTTGGCTGCCTCTTGAGAGCAGCAAGATAGGACTGGACAAGCTGGTTTTTATCCCTAAGATGGAAGAGGGCAGGGCTCCTGGAGGACACGGGTGTCGTGTGACTCTACCAGGACATGGTACTCAACAAGCATGACAGCTTGTTGAGCTCCAGGGAGGACAGAAGAACTTCCTGCAGCAGGGTTGCCTTGTTGATGGCCTTGGGGTTTTGGGGTGCTCAGGATGGGGTAAGGGTTTGTCATTGTGTGTAGTCAGCCTAAGGGTAGGCACAATGCAAACTCTGCATAAGAGCTCCAGGGGTGACCTGATGCCTGGATGGTTGGGCAAGGCTCTCTCAAACCTTTCTTTCCCTGTTCCTGACCTTTGTGGTTTCAGACACTGGGATAGGTAACATGGTGACTTAGGCTATTGAAAGTGCCCTGCCCACCCCCAACCCAGCATTGTGCTCAAGTAGAGTCCAGGACTCCTACTGTGCTATGCTTTATGGAGAAACAGGTGCATGCTAGACAGGCTTTGTCTAGGCAGGAGGGATGGTGCTGTGGCCTGGGAGTGTGGTGTCAATGAGGCAGTAGTGTGTGTGAAACAAGGTGTTTTGAAACAAGCTCTCAGAGAAGATTACACATTGTGGTGACCAGAAGCTGGCAGGGACCTAATCCTGAATTTCCCTTGGGAACAGTGGCTCTGTATTTGTGAGTTTGGTGTCCATGGAAACTATAAATCACAGCTACCTTGGGTGATGTGAATCTGCTGTGTGCCTTCTCTACTCCTGGCCTTGCTCTTCTCTGCATAGGATGGATCATCAGGCAAGCAAAGGTGCTTACATGCAGCTCTGTCTGCACCTCGGGCTAAGCCCAGTGACCTCCTGCAGATGTCCTAGGGCTGCCTCTTTGTCCTCTATTTGAGCCCCTGGCCTGCCTTGACCAATCTCAAGGTCTAGGGAGACCCTGATCCAGAGTCGAGGCTAGTTTCTCTACCAAGGCCCTGGCACCCAGGAGCTGGAGAAGGTGATTCCCATGAGGAAGTCAGCGCTGTCACCTAGAGGAGGAAGACACTGGGAGGGCAGATCAGCATGTGTGCAGAACCAGCTGGGAGAGGAGCCAGGCTTAGCCATGTTTGAGGTAAATCTGAAGGGAAGGATGGAATGTTCTGGAGACTGGGATGGCCTGGAATGCTAGGATGCCTGGTAATAGGATTCTGAGCAGAAAGTGGAGTGGATGTTGGCCATGGAGAAACCTGGAAGACATCCGATGAAAGTGTTGTCATGGGAGAAGATGCAGAAGTAGTTATGGTTGATGTCTGGGGACCTTAGCGCTCTTGGTGGGGAAGGAATATGGTAGCCAAGGAGAGGCCCGAGGCATTGCCGGGCTCCTGTCCTTAACAAGGGTTAGGGCTGAGGGCCAGCAGGGGGCAGCATACAAACCAGTGCTGTGTAGAGTGAGATGATTATCCTGTTTTCCTGTGAGTTCTTGGAAACTGAGACCCTGGTGAACATGGGCAGAGGTGCCTTGTTGGTGACCCCAGCCTCACAGTGGGAAGGGGCTGTCTACATTGTCTGGCCAGGAAGTGGGTGTGAAAGGTGATGACCAGAGGCTCCTTAGGACAAGATTCGTTTGGTATTTCCCCAGCATTGAGCTGCTGTGGTTAGTTTTCACTGGCTCTCTCCTGGCCTTCTGAAAAGTGGGTCTGCATTTTGGTTCAGTTTAGAGAATAACTTTGAACTAGAGCAGTCCAACAGCAGGAAGCGTGGCACCAGAGGCTGAGTTTCTCTCTCTCTTGCTTTTTCTTTTCCTTTCTCTCCCTACTCTTTCTCTACTTCTCTCCATTCTTTCCTTCCTTGCTTTCTTGTTTTTGGAAATCCAAGGGATTGGACCTAGGTCCTTGGCGCTGAGCTGCATGTTGAGATCTCGTTTTTCTTTTTGATACAAGTTCTTACATAGTCACTAAGTTGCCCACACTAGGCTTGAATTTGCAATACTCCTGCCTCAGCCTTCGAGAGTGCTTATAGGAATGCACTATTATACCAGGCT